GNGCTGATATATGGTCCGATCATTGGATAAATAATTTTTATTTAGGGATTACTTGTCATTGGGTTGACGATAGTTGGACTTTACAAAAACGTTTAATCGGTTATGTTGCATTTCATGAACGACACACTGCTTCTAATATTGCTCGTTTAATTTCAAAAATCTTAGATAATTATAGTATTGGTAAAAAAGTATTTTCAATTTCATTTGATAATGCGACTGCAAATACTGCATCTATACGTGAATTAAATGATATTTGTACACCAATCTGTGGGGGTAGATTTTTTCATATTCGTTGTATATGTCATGTTTTAAATTTGTGTGTTCAAGCTGGTTATCATGTTTTTAAGGATTCTGTAAAGCCAATAAGGGAGGCCGTCAATTATTTGCATAAACGTCCCCAAGAAATGAAAGCATTGGGACGATTTTGTAAGAGTGTTGGAATTAAACCTAAAAAATTCCAGCCAGACGTGCCTACCCGGTGGAATTCAACATTTAAAATGTTGAGTGTCACCGCTGATTATGCTAAGTATTTACAGGATTTTTTTAATGACACAAACCGTAAGGATTGTGATGTTCGAGTTTCGGTGAATGATTGGGCAAACTGTTCGCAACTTACAAATTTTTTAGAAACATTTCAAAACGCTACTAATATTCTTTCTGGTGTTTACTATCCTACTGCTCAACTTGTGGTCAGTCAATGTATAGCTATAATGTAGGGTTTTAAAGATATTTATGACTTAGATCCTTTTAAATATTCTGGTCTAGTAGAAAATATGTTAGAAAAATGGCTAAAATATTATTACTATATTCCCGATACATTTTTAATTGCATGTCTGTTAGATCCTACAGTTCGTGAGCAAGGTTTGTTAAATCAACTTAATATGTACTATGATTATATGTATCAATTGCCACTGCCGAGTGGGGTCCCGACTTACAGGGACAAACCTAACATACCGCAGCTCGTCGAGCAAGGAAAAAATTCTTTGTATGACATGTTCAAGGAAACAGCGATCGCACATGGAGAGTCTCCCAGCACATTTGTTCGTAGCAGCGGCGCAAGCGGCAGCGGGTCTTCATCTTCGTACGGAGGGCAAAGCGGCAATACAAACTACGGAAACTTCAAAGTGTTTTGGGATTCATTAAATCCCTACAAAAACTCGGGCGGTCAAAGGGTGCAGGGGACTGGATACTATGAGCTGGATCACTACCTTACGTCGAATTTAGCCGTTACGATTGCACGTCCACCTCAGCCGCCACTCAATTTCGATGTGTTAGATTGGTGGTCAAGAATGGAAGGAATTTTTCCTATTCCATGCATTATGGCCAAGGAGATCTTTGCTGTCCCAGCATCTACAGTCGCGGTTGAGCAAGTATTCAGTGAGGGCGGCTACATGCTAGATCCACGACGGTCGAGGATGACGCCTGATAATCTTCAAGCACAAATGTTACTGAGTGATTGGAAGAAGGCCGAACGAAGGATGCAAACTGCTATGCTCACTTCGAATGAGGAGGAGGACGACAACGACGAAGCATCCGATTTTACGTCGTCGACAAGTGGAACCGGGGGGGACGTCGAAGACGAATACGAATATTAAAGGTATGCAGCCAAGGTATGTGTTTTAGAA